CCTGCTTCTCTGGGGTGGTTTGTCTCATAGGCAAGTCTGGGCTTGGCCTGGTTTCTGTAGCACTGATGGCTGTAGGAGTTGAGGACAGAGGCAAAATGGAGCTGATTTCCATTCTTGAGGCTGAGACAGCGTTATGAGAAGAATCAACTGGAGTGGGCCATGGAGTCAGGGTGATGCTGGGACTCCTCCTAGGGGCTATTTCTGATACAGGTGTGTCTTCAGAGAATGTAGAAGAAATTGTCCCAGCTGGGCTGATCTTTAAGGGACCACTGGAGCCTGCGCTGGCTGTTGGCTCTGCTGGAGTCATGGAGAATGTGGAGCTTGCCATGCCCGTGGTGACTCCAGAAGATGTTTCAGGTGGAGATGAGGCTTCTATGGGAGAGAACATGGTTCTCCTGTGTGTCTCAGGCCTAAGTCCACTTGTTACAGTAGCCACAGTGAGAAGGGGGGCCTGAGTGGCTGTCGTACCTGGCAGAGTCTCCATGGTGAATGTCTCTGTTGCAGTGTCTGAAATGGAATCTCTCGCAGTAGAGCCAGTCATGGGCATGCTGGTGGGCTCTGTTGAGTCCCTTTCCAGGTCAGATCCACTCACATTATCCAATGTCACTGAGCTTCTGGTGGAGAATCCTGTGACCATAGCAATTGGTTGAAGTGTGCCTAAGGGTTGATGGGGGAAGTTTGGAGTCATTTGGATAGAGATCCCCACCACCTGTAAGGACTCCTTCCTTCTTGGGAAGAACCACCAAACTCCAACCCCTCACAGTATTCTCCAGTGCTCAACTTTCTCCCTGACAAGCACTTTCAACAACAAAAAGGACTCTCGTGGGGCAGCTAGATGGCGCAGTGGATAGAGCACCGGCCCTGGAGTTAGGAGGACTTGAGTTCAAATCCAGCCTCAGACATATAACACTCAGTAGCTGTGTGACCCTGGACAAGTCACTTAACCCCACTGCCTAGCCAAAAAAAAAGAAAAAAAAGGACCCTGCCAGGGACTATGACCTACTTCTGCCCTAGGGTGGGTGGCCCCCATGATAATTATTAAATAGCAAGAGATCAATGTTTAGGCAGATCTCTGCTTACATCTTGGCACAAGATGAGATGGGGACCTAGGCTCAGACAAACTGTCCGGTGGATACTTATTCTGGTCAAACAAACAATCAATCAACAGTCATATTAAGCATCAAGCTACCCTGATTGACACTCACTGTTGTAGGTGCTGGGCATGCATAGACAAGAATGAAAATGGCCCCTACCCTCTTGCTGCTGACTTTTAACAGGGCAAATAATACATATACATGCAAGTGAATACAAGAAACATACAAAATCCCCCAGCAGCTCTTCGTCCAAAGGCTGTTATCACAACATACTTCAAGGCAGAAATTAATGTGGCAGATGAAGCTGCCAGGTGTTGTGATCTAACTACAAACTCCCCCATCAGTGTCCTGTTCTCAGACTGTGAAGATGAATCCATACCTTGTCTCAAAGCTGGGAGACAAAGACCCAGGAAGGGTGAATACCAACCCAGGAGAAAGAGAAAAGGCATTTACTTACCCATAGGACCGACAGTGGGGTCAGGTGTCAGGGGGCCACTGGTCAGTACTGCCATGCCTCCTGGTGCTCCATTGTCTGGGCTATGTGTGACAGGCACTACACCAACCTCACTACCTGTAGGAACAAATGAGTGCACATATCACAGTCTTGGAGGGTAGAAAGGACGATATATTATCTCCACATGTTCTGATTGTAAACTCCAAAATATGTGCTTTCTTTATTTCATCCTTCACATAGTAGAATGTTCCTCTATTATCCCACTCTCTCACTTATCTTCAATCTCTGCTTGTCTACTGGCTGCTTCCCTACTACCCCTATCTACAAAAAAAACCCCAAAACAAAAGAAAAACCTTCACTTTTTCCCCTCTGTCCCTGATTATTCCTTATCTCTCCTCTCTTTTGTGGTCAGAGTCCTTGAGATAGCTATCTACAAAAAGTGTTTCCATTTCTCTTCCTCTCACTCTCTTTTTAACTCTACAGTTTTGTTTTCAACCTCATCATTAAAATGAAATTTTCCTCTCTAATGTTACTAACAATCTCTTAATTGCAAAAATGAGTGGCCTTTTCTCAATCCTCATTCTTCTTAATCTCTCAGCAGCCTTTGATTCCATTACCCTACTCTCCTGGTTCTCCTCCTAACCATCTGACTCCTGTCTCTGTCTCTTTTGCTGGATCCTCACCTAAGCCACAAATGCTATTTGTGGGTGCCCTACATTAGAGCTCTGAGTTGGGCCCTCTTCTCTTTCTTCTCTATGAGTTTTAACTCAGTGATCTCATAAGCTCCCATGAATTCAATTCTCATCTCCATATTGATGATTCTCAAATCTACTTATACACCCTGAAGCTCTCTGGTGATCCCAATCTCACCACTCCTATTGGACAACTGCATATTAGAAATCTTGAACCGGGTGTCTTGTTAACATCTTAAATTCAACATGTCCAAAACTTAACTCGTTGTTTTCCAAAAAAACCTTCATCTCTTCTTAATTTCCCTATGGCTGTTCAAGGTATCATCATCTTCCCAATCACCCTGGCTCACAACCCAGGAGGTCATTCTTGAGTACTCACCCTTTCGCCCCCCATATCCAATCTGTTGACAAGGTCTATAGGTTTTACTTTCATAACATCTCTCCCATATGCCCTCATCATCTCATGCCTGGACTATTGCAGTAGGCTTCTGGTTGGTTTTCCTGTCATAAGACTCTTCCCATTCCAGTCCATTCTCCACTCAGCCACCAAAGTGATTTTCCTAAAGCCCAGGTCTGACCATGTCATTGTTCTATTCAATAAACTCCAATAGCTTCCTATTACCTCAAACAACAAATATAAAACCCTACCACATGCCAAAAACAAAGTCAAAATGAGTATATGGTTTAGATGTAAAGGATTATACTATAAGTAAACTGGGAGAGTAAGAAACAGTTTACCTGTCAGATCTATGGAGAATAGAAGGATTTATGACCAAACAAGAGATAGAGAACATTATGAAATGCAAAGTGGATAATTTTGATTACATTAAATTGAAAAGGTTTTGCACAAACAAAGCTAATGCAACCAAGATTAGGAGGGAAGCAGAAAACTGGGAAAGAATTTTTACAACCAGTGTCTCTGATAAGGGCCTCATTTCTAAAATATATACAGAATTAAGTCAAATTTATAAGAATACAAGTCATTCCCCAACTGATATATGGTCAAAGGATATGAACAGGCAGTTCTCAGATGAAGAAATTAAAACTATCTATAGTCATATGAAAGAATGCTCTAAATCACTATTGATTAGAGAAATGCAAATCAAAACAACTCTGAGGTACCACATCACACCTATCAGATTGACCAATGTGACAAAACAGGAAAATGATAAATGTTGGAGAAGATGTGGGAAAATTGGAACATTAATGCATCATTGGTGGAGTTGTGAACTGATCCAACCATTTTGGAGAACAATTTGGAACCATGCCCAAAGGGCTACAAAAAATGTGCATACCCTTTGACCTAGCAATAGCACTTCTAGGGCTGTATCCCAGAGAGATCGTAAAAATGGGGAAAGGACCCACATGTACAAAAATATTTATAGCAGTTTTTTCTGTGGTGGCAAAGAATTGGAAATTGAGGGGATGCCCATCAAATGGGGAATGGCTGAACAAGTTGTGGTATATGAATGTAATGAAATACTATTGTGCTATAAGAAATGATGAACAGGCAGATTTCAGAAAAATGTGGAAAGGCTTATATGGACTGATGCTTAGTGAAGTGAACAGAACCAGGAGAACATTGTACACAGTAACAGCCACGTTGTTTGATGAACTTTGATAGACTTAGCTCTTCTCAGCAAAGCAAGGATCTAAGACATCTCCAAAAGTCTCACAACAGAAAATGCTATCCACATCCAGAAAAAGAACTATGGAGTTTGAATGCAGATCAAAGCATACTATTTGCTCTTTTTTCTCTTCTGTTTCGTTTTGTTTCTTCTTTTGTGTGGTTCCTCCTATTGGTTCTAATTCTTCTTTACATCATAACTAATGTGTAGGCACATGTTTTCACATTAGTTATGCTACACACCGCTATGCTATCCTGGGGTGGCCACATTAGTCTGTGAAGCTCCCATCTGACTGAACCTATTCCACCACAAGATTCATTTTTTAAGTCATGCAAATTCCAGGAAGGCTTGTGTAACAGAGATAAGCTAAGAACGTACTGATGCTTAGCTTCAGTTCCATTGATATCTGGGGTAGGGACATGAATTAGGATAGAAAATTAGTCTAGGGGGCAGCTAGGTGGTGCACTGGCCCCGGAGTCAGGAGGACCTGAGTTCAAATCTGGCCTCAGACATTTGACACTTATTACCTGTGTGACCCTGGGCAAGTCACTTAACCCCAACTACCTCGCAAAAAAAAAAAAAAAGAAAGTTAGTCTAGGTGAGAGATAACTGTCCTAGTCCTAACCAATCTTTCTCCAAAGTTGTTATCACGCCACAGGTTTTATTAGAGAAAGCAATAGGACAGGAAAATCTGGGTATCAAGTTTTAGGAAGGATCTCAAAGTAACATGCTTCAATCCACATCTCTAATGCTTACTCCTTGTGAGACTTTGGGCAAAGGTGCACCCTGGGTATCCATTTTCTCTACTTTAAGACACTTGAACTAGACAACTGAGGTCCCTTCAGGTTCTAGATGTATGAGCCCATGAGGGCAAGCAGAAAGGTGAAGCATCTCAAAGGCATGTCCAAATGAGTATCTGTTGAAGGAACTGGGGAACTTTAAGTTAGAGAAGCGATGACTCAAAAGGGACATAATGGTTGTCTTCAAGTATTTGAATGATTCTTGTTTGGAAGATAGATTCCATTTGCTTGGTTTGTGCCCTGGGGGTGGAACAATAAGAATAACTACAAAGATCAAAGAGGTAAATTCATGCTCAATGTCAGGAAATACCTTTCTAACCATGAGAACTACCCCAAAGTGAGAGAGGCTGCCCCAGGAAGTGGGTGGTTCTCCTTGATGTCTTCAAGAAAAAGTTAGATAACCTGAGTTCAAATCTGGCCTCAGACACTTGACACTTACTAGCTGTGTGACCCTGGGCAAGTCACTTAACCCCAATTGCCTCACACACAAAAAAAAAGTTAGGTGGAGTATAGTGGAGACACTTGTTGGCTAGGCTGGAGTGGGCATCCTCCTGCAGTTATGGGTAGGACTGAATGATCACTCAAGTCTCCTCCAAGTATGAAATTTCCTGATTCTCATCCTATAATCCTTGATGGCTTGAAACCTAAGTCCAAACCCTATTTTCAGAAGCCTGTTCTTCTGAAGTTACAAACATGAACCAATGAGTCACTGCCCAAAGAGCAGGAAATGAGACCCCAGAAATGCTGAACCTCCAACAGAGGAAAGAGAGAGGAACCATCCACTTACCTGGGGTGCCAACAGCAGACACAGGTGCCAGAGGTTCACTTGTCAGGGTTGCAGTGCCTCCTGGCACTCCATGGTCAGGAATATGAGTGACAGGCCCCAAACCATCTGCAGGGAGGTATAAGGGAAGGGCTTAGGGATCAGTCATGTCAGATTCCTGGGACACCCGAAGAAAATACATTGTCCCTACTGATTAGAAACCCCAAAATGTATGCCTTCTATTATTTTTCCTCCAAAGCACTACTTCGGTACTGGACAATCCCATTATATGTTAAGCTAACTGGGAATATCTTAATTTTAGCAACAAGTAAGCAGAGGAGCTTTGAGAGCTGAGACTATTAGACTGCCTTCTCATTGAGAGATGAGGCAGATTGGAGTGATGACACTGGTCCAACAGACATAGCCTTGAAGTCAAGGCCTTAGAGTAGCCTAAAACAGATATCCAAAGAGAAACTCAATGGAAATGATATTAATGCCTTTGCCCAGATATGATTCTCCTTCTACTACAGAACCCACCCATCCATCTCCTCCCAGGCCTCATCCCCTAAATAGGAGGCTTAGTTAGAAGTCTGCTTACTTGTGAACAGGGTGGAGCTGGTACGTACAGGGGCAGAAACAGAGGCTGTCTCTGCCCTGGCACTGCTGCCCGCTAAGGCTGGGGATGCTGGGGTGGGAGGTGATGATGTCCAGGCTGCCTGTATCCTTGCTGGAGACAGAGTAACAGCTAAAGTTGATGTTTCTATTGATCCTACAGTTGAGGTGACAGTCTCTGATCCCTCCCAAGAGGGAGCAGTCTCAGGGGGACTGGAGCTTTTCAAGGCTGCAGAAGTGGTAACAGTAGGAGAGATATGTGTGCTCAGGCTCAGAGATTCATGGACAGGGCTAGCGGTTGCTGCTTTTGTGGAGGGCTCCAGGAAAAGTTCACCTAAGGTGATGTCAACTAGACTTGGAGAACTTGTTTTTATTGGTGATGAGGCAGCTGAACTTGACGTAGTCTCCATACCTATGCTGATCGAAGCTGTGGCCTTTGACCGTGGAGGGATCAAGGTCACAGCAGGACTGGTCTCTACTGCTGGAGCTGTGCTGACTTCCAGGGTAGCTGTGCTCTGACTTTCAGACCCTTGAGCATTTGCCCTTGGTGCAGTGACTTCAGAAAGCATTGTGGAAACAGAGGCTGGTGAAGCAGTATCTGCTCCCAGTGATTTCTCAGTTGACAAAGTGGACAGTACCAGAGAAGTGCTTGTTACTCTCTCAGGACTAGCAGCTTGTGTCCTAGGGTTTTCCAAGAAAGATGACAGGGTGGAAGACGTCCTGTTGGCCTCTGAGCGTGACACAGTGCCCATGGAAACCTGGATGTTTCCCAGTCCAGAGGCCAGAGTGGAAGCTGTCACGGTCCTTGTTCCAGCAGTCTCAAATTCAATAGGAGACCATGGGGATTCGGTGTCACTTCCCTGTGGAACTTCATTAACCAATGCTCTTTGAGTTTCAGATGGCTCAGCCAGTGTCACAGCAGCTAGACTTGATCCTTGTCCAAAATTAGTGGGGGTCACTGTGGTCACGACTGGCTGGTGGGTGGCAGGGCTTGTCTCTCTGGGAATCTTGGGCTCAGAACTTGTTGAGATCTCTCCCAAACTGGTGCCAGGAGGCAGGACTGTGTGTGCTTGAGCTTCTGGCCTGGGTCCTGAAGGAGCTGATGATACCTCTCCCATCACCATGGCTATGTCAGTGCTAGCTGTGGCTACCATGGCTAAGGTGGTCAGAGGGAGATTGGAGCTCATTTCTGAGTCTGTAGATGGGACACCATGAGTTGTGGGCCCCAAGGGAGTTGAGTCAGCAGAGGTGCTCAATTGGCTTGTTCTTACAGGAGTAATGTCTGAGAATATAAGAGCTTTAGGAGAAGTAGGGGTCAGTGGGACATCTGTGCTGCTCTCTGCCACTGTACTTGGGAGCTCAGGACTGAGTGTGGTCACAGGAGAGAGAGAAGCCATGCCTGTGACCTTGCTGTTGAAGGACAGATTTGTTTTATCAGTGGTAACGGTAGCTGAGCTCATGTCCTCCGCCATGTGAGTTACCACAGACAAGGCCACTGGAGTTGAAGGAGAAGGAGTCTGTGGCCATGTAGTGGTGATATCTGCCCCAGTGGTGGTAAGATTCATGGATTGAGCTGTGGTGGAGGGCTGGGAGACGAATGTGCTTTGTTCAGGGACAGCCTTAGAGCTGCTGGTACTAGGAGGTAGGTCTGAGCTCACTCGAGTTTCTGTGTTGGACCTTGGAGGAACTGAAGACGTGTCTTCTGCCACTGTGGCTGTGACAGTGCTAGCTGTGGCCACCATGTCCAAGGTGGTCAAGGAAAGATCTGCTGTCACCTCTAAGTCTTCAGATGGGATATCATGAGTCATCATCTCCCTTGGAATTGAGCCAGTAGAAGTAGCCAACAGTACTGGTCCTCCAGTAGTGGTGGCTGAGGACACGGGAGATTGAGGTGATGAGGAAGTAGTTGGTAGGCCACCAGTGCTGCTCTCTGCCACTGTCTTTGGGAGATCATGGCTATGAGTGGGCCCAAGATGAGGGACAATGTCTATGACCTTGCTGCTTTGGATGGGACTTGTACCTTCTGTGGTAGGGGCAGCTGGGCTGGTATCCTCAGGCATGTGAATAATACCAGATGAGGCTGTGAGGGGTGATGAAGTGAGAATATTTGGCCAAGCAGAGGTGCTGCCCATCCAAGTCATGGTAAGAGATGTGGCTTCAGATGTGGTAGAGGACGTGCTGCTGTCTGTCCTTTCTCCTGTAGGAGTTACAGAGCTACTGCTGGTAAAGGTATCATAAGGTACCATTGTTGTCACAGGGGACAAGACTGTTTCTGCTACAAGCCTGGACCCTACGGTTATGAGGGTGTGGTGCAGAGTGGCATAGCCATCTGGACCTGTGCTGGACTCTCTAGTATGGCTTGTCTGGACATCAGCTGAAGTCTCAGCAGGGAAAGTTGTGCTAACAGCTGATTCTGCAGCACTGCCCCCCACACTCGTCTCAAACACAGGGGTGGTTACGGAGGCCAAACGACTACCCGGCTGCCTGTTGTCATGAGTGATGAAATCTAGGATGTCTCCTGGACTGGCACTAGGAGGAAAAGCTGCATCTGCAGGCACTGGTCCAATTGAACTGGTCACCCCCTCAGGCTGTGAGGTCTCAGTGGGATCAGTGGCAGACGGTGCAGTTTGGCTTGCTGGGGCTCCTGTCTTAGCGGATGTGGAGTGGTTGGCTTCCTGTATTACATCATGAGGGGCAACAGTGGAAATTGTCTCTGGCCATAGAAGAGTTGGGGGTCCCGTTGAATGTGTTTGCTCTCTGGGAGTTGCCCAGGGTTTATCCGTACTCTCCACAAAGGAAATAGACATTGTTATGGGCCCAGTTTTCCCTTCTGTGGATGCCAAGGATGTACGTGTGTCTCCTCCAGCAACAGTTGGGATGATGCTTACAGCGGGAGTGGGCCGGGCAGCTGAGCCAGATTCTGTTTGTGTCTGGGTGTCTGGCTTCTCTGGGGTAGTGACCTCAGCTTGCACTGGAGTTGGTGCAGGGCTTTTCCCTGTTTCTTTGACACTGAAAGATGAAGGAGAGGAAGACAGGGAGGCAGGGGGACTGGTGCCCATCCCTGAAGCTGAGGCAGTCGTCCAGAGAACATCTGGTGGGATTGACGTTGATATTGGTCCCATACTGGTGCTTTTCATGGTAGCTGTGTGTGCTCTCGATGTGATCATTGGGAGAGGAGAGGAAAGTGTCCCAGGCAGGCTGGTCTTTAATGGAGTACTTGAGTCAGAGGTAGCTGTGGTTTCATCTGAAGTCAAGGGAAGCAAGAGGCTCCTGGTGCCCATGTTCACTCCTGCAGATGTCTTAGGCACAGCAGTGGCTCCTATTAAAGAAGAGGTAGATTCTGTAGGTGTCTCGATTCATTGGCCACTTGTCCCAGTAGGAACGTGGTGGCTGGTGGGCTGAGTAGAAGGAAGTGTCTCCATGGCAACTGCCTCTGTTGGAGCATTTGAAAAAGAGGCTTGGACAGAGCTGATCACAGAGATGGTGGTGGGCCCTGGGGAGTCACAGGTTTGGGGAGATGAACTTTCTGCCTGGGTGCTTTTGCTGGGGAATGCTGTGACTGAGCACTTGGTTGGGACATGTGCAAGGATGTAGGGAAGGAAGGAGGGGAGGCTATTCATTCTCATTTCTCCTCAATAACCCAATTCCTCCTTGGGGAGATAGCCCCACCACTTCACTTTCTCCTTCAATGGTACACATGGACATCTCTTCCCTGATGAGTAGGTTCATCAACCAAAGGGCATCACTGGGGACCATGGCTGCTGCTACTCTTGGGGGTGACTACATAGATCAATGAACAGATCCACAGTCATACAAAGGTTACCTGCTTCATCCCAAGATCCATCTTTTAAATCATGAGAATCGCCTGACCTCACAAGGGCTTGAGGAATGAATAATCCTAACCCTAAATGCATGCATGGAGAATAAATGAATGAATTGAATGAGGGGTGAAAGCACTGATGTGGGGACATAAATGAGATCATTCCTCTTGAAATTCCCCTGATATCCAATCCAGGAACATGGAATAGGGAACTGGGCTGGTATAGACTCCAATGAAAATTCTAAAAGTTAGCTTGCTTAGACAGAGCCTTAGTGAAGGAAAAGGTCCCAAAGCAAAATAGGTCATTACCTTTGACACTTGGCTACCAGCCTCCAGTTCTCATTAGAAATTTACCAAATATAAAAAAATTCTGAAAGGATATGGTCTATTTTTTACCAATATCTTTGTTTTATCCAAATGAATTCTAGACAAAAGATAGGTGAGAACACGAAATGCAACAGATGCTCAGGCAGAAGAACTCCTAGGCTGGCCTGCTCTAGTTGGACCACAGAGAGACACCCACCTTGGTCAAACCCAAAATATTTTTCCCAATGGGAAGAGAGGGTCATACATGATATGCTCAGGAAAGGAGATCAAAGAAGCAATTATTGATGATGCCAAACTCCCCTCTCAAACGCCTCTTCACTTCAGTCTCGGGAGGTGATTCGCTGTGTTATCTCCAAAGAGGAGGATGAATGGCCCTCCAGTAGAGGAAGCAAAGGAGGCTTCTCCTTACCTGTAGGACTGAGGGTGTCTATGAGTTCTGGAGGGCCGCTTGTCAGTGCTGCAGGGCCTCCTGGTGCTCCTTGGTCTGGGATTTGTGTGATGGGCACCACATCAGCCTCTTTGCCTGCAGGAAGGAATGAGGGGAGGGCCTGAGAATCAGTTATGTCTGACTCATGGTGTACATGAAAGCAAATGCATGGTACCCACATGGACCAACTGCATAGCCTAAGATTCTGTGCATTGTTACTTCTTATTACTTATCCTGACTCCAGGAAAGGTCTGCTTTTCAAAACTACAGCTCAGATCTGGACAATTCCACGCTTATCTAAAGACCACTAGTAATACTCAGTTTTCACCTACAAGCAGGGGGGCCACAAGGACCATTAGGCCACCCTCCTGTACAGTAATCTAAGAGGGACTAGGCTGGTTTAACAGAGATAGTTCTGAAGTCAGGGCCCCAAAGTAGCCCAAAATAGAGACCTGGAGAGGTAAAGGCCAAGTGAGAGCATTCACCCATGAGGCAACATGGTGAAATGGAAGGATCTCTGGAAATAGAAGGACCTATACCTGGGTTTAATTCCTGGCTTGGATACTTACTACTGGTGTGACACTAGGCAAACCAATTCCCCTTTAGACCTCAGTTTCCTCATCCGTAAAATAAAGAGGTTTGAGAATCATCGGCATAGAGATGGGAATTAAATCTATGGGAGTTGATGAGATCACCAAGTAAAGTAGTGTAGAGGAAGAAGAGAAGAGGACCCAGGACAGAGCTCTGAGGAACACCTATGGTTAGAGGGCCTGCCAGCAACATAGAAGACTGAGGAGCGGTCAGATAGGTGGAAGGCTAACCTGGAGAAAGTGGTGTCCTGAAAATCCTGGAGAGGAGAGATTATAAGGAGGTGTGTCAGGAAGAGCTGAGTTTAGATCCCTGCTTCAGACCCTTACCATCTGTGTGACCCTGGAAAAGGCACCTAAGCTCTCTTAGCCATGTTTTCCTTATCCGCAAAATGGGGTTAGTAATAGCACCTACCTCTCAGAGGGTTGTTGTAAGAGTCAAATAAGACTGGTGTGAAGGATGTAAAATATGTCACAAAATCTTGAAGTTTTAAACACACATACACATGCAGGCATACAGGACTTAGTGCCAGGTGGTTTGGTCAAGCCTGATTCAGCATTAGCTTCTGCACCCCTGGTCATGGTGGCTTCTGGGATACAGGGCTTTTCCCTGTGGGTGCTCGGTCCTTGGAGGAGCCTGGAAACTCCCCAGGTTGATGCTGAGTGGTTCAGTTAACCTAATTTCACCTCCTAGTGCACTGAGACTTTGGGAATGCCCTGTATGTGCCAGCTGTCTCCAAAGATCAGGAATGGAGATTGAGCAAGTATGGCTACCCAGGAGAAGCAGCATAAAAAAGGCTCCTACTTACCTGTGGGCCCGACAGTGGACCCAGGTGCCTGAGAATCACTTGCTGGTGCCCACGGGCCCCTAGATGCTCCCTGGTCTGGAATGTGGGTGACCATTGCCACAGTATCATCGATGCCTAAAGAAAAGGATGAAGGAAGGAGCCAGGATTCAGTCGTGTCAGAAGCAGTGGAGGGCAACAAGACAAGGGTACATTGTGCTCCTTCTTTTATTCCCAAACAGAGTGACAAGACATGGCCTTGGGCATCAGGGTCAGTAGTTTTCTATCACCTTCTCTTGCCTCCTTTTTCTGCCCCTCCTCAGGGCCATCTGTTTTCCCTCCTTGCCAGATCTAGAAATGGGGAATAGCCCTCCCCACTCTCTAAAATGGTTGATTCTACCTCATCCCACCCCCACAGTTCCCCATTTCTGGCTTTGTATATGTCAGCTGGGCAGGACATTCAAATTTACTTAAATTATCCCACAGGAAGAGGGGGCACCTAATTCCAAAGAAGGCTTCCAACAATCTTAGGAGGGCCCCTGGGATGCTCCCAAAGCCCAGGGCCCATGGCTAATCGATAGACAAGGTCCAATTTCATAGAGGAAAAAAGTGCATATTTCATAACATTCATCCAAGAATCATTTAGTAAGGACCTACTATGTAGCAGGTACTATGCAAGGCACTGGAGATACAAAGATGAAAATGACATGCCTGCCCTCATGGAGGTTACATTCTATCAGGATATAACAGGAATGAAAAGCAACTATGGATAAAATATAACAGCCCAAGAAATGAGAAGTAAGTTGTTAGAAATCATGGCCCAAGAAATACCTAACCAAAGACACAGTCCTGTAAATCTCTAAGAAATGGCTTTTTCCTTAGAGAAGGGAAAGAAAAGTCCCAGGTAGACTGAATGCCCATTTAGCTAGGAAAGGAAAAAAGGAGGTTTCTACTTACCTGCAGCACTGATGGTGGGCATGGTCAGCAGAGGACCACTTTCTGGTCTTGGAGTGCTTACAGGTGATGCTGAAGGACGAATATTCCCGGTAGGTACCATATTCTCATTAATTCCTGAATGAAAGGATAGGGAAGGACCCAGGGATCAATCATGTCAAAAGACCACAAAAGAAATGCACTGTAGGCAAAGGTCCAAACTCTGCAGCTAACACATGCACCATGTGCTTTCCGTCAGTCCTCAGAGGCAGTTAGGTGGAGTAATGGACAGAATGCTGGGCCTGGAGTCAAGAAGAACTGAGTTCAAATCCAGCCTCAGACACTTACTAGTTGTGTGACCTTGTACAAGTCACTTAAATTCTATTTGCCTCAGTTTCCTAAACTAAAAAAAAATGGGGATAATAACAGCATTTACCTCACAGGGTGGTTGTGAGGATAAAATGATAGAATTTGTAAAAAGCACTTAGCATAGAACCTGGCACGGAAGAGGTATTATATGAATGCTTATTCCTTCCCCTTCCCCTTCCCCTCCCTCATATAGTGATGATAACTGACATTTACAAAAGAGTTTTTGATGATAAAGCACATTCAAGTTTGCACCTCAACTTATTTACTCTGACTCCTGGGAATATCCCTTCCAAAGACCTATCTTACAAAATAAGTATTTATCACTTACCCAGTAATAATGTTAGTCAACAGAAAGAGAAGGGTTAATTTCAGCACCAAGGACCTCAAGGCTGCCATTGTATGTATGGGGACAGGAGTGACTGACCACCAGAGTCTTATCAGACACAACCCCAAAGCCAGCGCTCTTGGAGACCCCAAACAAAGACCCTGAAAGCTGTCAAGAAAGTGCCTTCCATCCCATTTTGTAAACATGGTTCTTTCTCATTTCAAGGCAGAACAGGTCCCCACCTCCCATGGCCTAGTGAGCTCCTCAGAAGGGGAGACAGGAGCTAATGCATACTTGTGAAGAGAGGTGCTAGGAGCAGGACGTGGGGAAGAAACTGACACTACCCCAGTAGTGATGATCACTGTTAATATGGCACCTGGTGGTTAGAGGTATATGTCTATAGTGTCTGGGTGCCAGCTAAAGATAGGGTGACTGCTTGAGTCATGGGTTCTTCTGTGTTTCCGTCTGATAAAATGGTGGCACTAAACATTGGTGGGGACCCCGGGAAGAAGTAATCCCAAGGAATCCCTTACTTGTTTGGGATATAGGTTTAGTGGAGAAAGGAGGGAGGTCTTGGCTCTGCTTTATAGGCACCTGGTATTATATGAGGGGCCCTGCTTCTGTGGAAGGCCCAAAGGAAGGAATAAATTCACTCAAGAGGGTATCAGTGAGGGTAGGAATGCTGATTTCTGCTGCTACTGGTCCACTGCTTGTAGGAGTAGCTGAATTTATTCCTAATGGAATATTTATGCTGATAGGAGTTGTGGTCTTAGTCAGGGAAGTAGGCAAAGTCATGGTGAGGCTGGTTCCTGATGCTGTGCCTATATTAAGGATGGGTCTACGTGCCCCTCTAACCCGCAGAGGTTCTACTTCCTGAAGATGACAACACCAGACACAGTGGCAGAAGTGGCTGACTGGGTACGTGCTTCCACTATGGTCTCCTTTAGTGGAGGGGACAGAACTGTGTCGGAGCTTGTGGCTGGGCCAAGAGTTGTCCCATCTTTCAAGAGGCTCCCAGAGGGAGAAGACGTCATGTGGGGAGATAGGCTAGCAGTCTCTCTGGCAGAGATGGTCCTAACAGATGAAGGGCTCTCCAACAGTCCTGTGGTCACAAGGGATGCTGATTTGGCCTCTGCAATTGTGGGAAGAGGTGATGGAGATGCTGTGTCTGTCAGTGTTAAAAGACTGGTAACTGAGGGGCCTACTGGCCCAGAAGTTGAGTTTGATGGAGATTCTGTATCAGATACTGTTGGAACGTTCATAAGGGAGGGACCTGGTGCCCCAGGAACTGAGGCTAAACCTGATTCAGCATTGGCTTCTATACCTGTTGGCAAGGGAGTCTTTGGGGGCTCAGGGGTTGTGCCTATGGGTACTCTGTCCTTAGAAGAAGCTGGAATCTCTCCCAGAGTGGTATTGGGTGGTTCAGTTAACCTCCTTTCACTGCCCTCTCCTATCAGAGTCAAGGTGACACCTTTCACTGTAGCTTCCACAGGTGCAGTGGTCATGGGGAGAACTGAGCTGATCCCCTCTGGTCCCCACCAAAGTTGAGCTAAAAGGTATAGCAGATGAGTCTGGCACACCAGTCTCAGTTACTGAGGATCTGGAAAGTTCCAGAAAAGATACAGTCATTGGTCTCTGCTCCTATACTTGGGAACTCAGGATACTGAGCAGGGACAGGAGAGGTAGGGAGGATGTCTATGACTTTGCTGCTGGGAGTCAGACTTGTACCCTTAGTCGCTGGGACAGCTGGCCTCATGTTATCAGTCACAGAGTTACTCCCTGAAGAGGCTTCAGGGGGTGGCTGGAATGAGAATCCACAACCAATTAAGACCAGTGCTTAGCATACTCGCAGCTTTAGCTGCTGTACAGGACCACAGGACAACTGTACTTTCTTCAGCGCCAGTCACAGAGACACTATTAGGGCTGGCTTCAGCTACTATTATTGGCTCCATGTGGGAGGAAGATGTCTCTGCTCCAAGACTAGTCCCTGTAACATCTGTGCTGTGGGCCAAGGCACTATCCACACGTAAGCCAGTGCCGGCCCCTCCAGTTGGACTTGAGACTTGGCCAACTGTAGTACCTGCAGAGTAGGAGTATCCACGTGGGTCTGTGCTGGTCTCTGAGACCACTGAACTTGATTCAACCATGAAGATGGCTGTGGAGGCCACATCTGGACTGGTCTTTGTGCTGGTGGT